GTGCATGCTCGGGCTTTGTACCTTTGCTGAAGATGTGCTTGGTTTTCATAAGTGATTGTTTTTTTCCATGGAGACCTGTGCCTTACTCCTGCCAGATGTTTGTTTGAACATTATTCAGCAAAGGTTACTGTCGAGAGGATAGTGTAATCAGGTTCTGCATTCTCATTGGTCATCTGGGCTAGTAAGTGAAAACTAGCAGCCGTCTCTTGGTCTTGTTGATGGTCACATGCATCTAGGTGTAAGCAGGGGTGTTGATAATAGGAAGAGTGTGATAAGAAGTGCTTCCTGTGTGTTGTCACCGATTGTCATAGTACAGTATCTGTTGATTATTCCAGAGCTGCTAGTCATGATGTATGGTGATAGTCTATGTTGTGTAAAGAAATAATGTAGGCTTTCTTGGAGCCTTGTTACTTGTGCTTTGGCAGGCACCTTATGTCATCCTGAATATATATATAGAGAGCCTATATATAGATATATAGACAATATTAGTCTGTTTGAAGGCATTCCATTTCAGTTCTTAAAGTGCAAGTTGACAGTCCTCATATTCTTGCAGTAAATTAGCAAGCTGTATTTTCTGTTCAGTGTTGATAGGAATCACATTTCTGTTCGGCCATTTGTAACTTCTCCATCTTGTGAGATGTTGAAAAAGTTTCTATAATGTAGTTTCATTGATGGAACAGATTTTGTAGTACAGTACAATGATGAAAAGGTGTAGTACACCTTTTCATCAATGGAAGTATGGCAATTCATCTATACTGTTCTGATATTTCCATGACCGTCACATAACCATTCATGTGTGTGTGTGCTGTAAATGGGACCTGCTTTGCTACCGAGTTCCTCATCAGTCTACTTACAACGCTGAGCTGTGTGAAAGCAACATGTCCTCTAGAGTAATATATCCCTTTTTGATGTCAAAATTCCCAGTGGATATAATATAATTTATAATACTGTATATCAAAATGGCTCACAAACATCCATATTTTCTATGTGTAAGTTCATCAGTCAGGTAAGGTTATGTTCAGGCAATTTGAACTGTATATCATTTTGTGATGTGACAACTGGAGAGGATGGGCTAGTGAAAGAACAGGGTGGTTGTAGCATTAAGGCATATACCTTTCCTTAGTGTTAGTTATCTTTACACACACTGAAGTGTGAGAGTCTCCATTCCTTTCTCAGACTATTAAATCTTAGTTGAAGTTAGCAACATACAGTGCCTACAGCATATGTCTGGTGTAAGAGCCAGGTTAAAATACTTTTAACTTTTTAAAATACTTTATTTTTATTTTTTTCTCCAATGGCACTGATAATGTTCAAAAATAGGGACACCAAGGTGGGGGGGGGGGAAAGGGTCATGGAGATGCCAATTTGTTTATACATAAATGTACAAACTGAATCCTGGTAAACTTTGTCCATCATACCAATAGTCTCATCCATGGGGCATCCAGATAAGGCCTAATACCAGATGCCTTTCGACTTCAGACAACACATTCCTTCATAAACAAGAGTCTGAAGTTTGTTGTGTTGAATAGCCAGCCTATGCATGAATGTGGGGATCTGGCTGATGATTGGACAGTTTTCTTCAAGTATCCATATCCTACCACCGTAACCGGCGATGGGAAACAGCTCTGGCGAGGTTGCATATTGGCCATACTCGCTTAACCCATGGTCACTTGATGGAGCGCCGCCCTGCTCCTTATTGTCCTATTAGCATTGTCCCTCTTACGGTCGTGCATGTCCTTCTTGAATGTCCTGACTTCCAGGACGACCGTGTGTCTTGCTTTCCGACCGCCCTTCGCAGTCGCCTGTCCCTCAATAGAATTCTTGGTGACTCGGATACTTTTGATATCGTTCGCCTTATGCGTTTTCGTTCTCGTATTGGCATCCTTAGTGATATTTAGCACCCTCTGATTATTCCGCACATTTGATGGTGCTACATAGCCTTCCCGGTTTGGTGCCTTCTTTTGATAATTACTTCAAGTATCCATAATGTACTTTGTATTGGGAAATATGGTCGTCATAAGTCCTGAAAATACCTCCCTCAATTAGCTACAGTCAGAATGTCTAGTTTCTCTTTTCCTAACCCTCTAATATTTTCTAAAGCATCCCTCCATTAACATTTCAAATTCCTTCTTTTCCCATGTACTTTCAAATAGTTATACTCATCGACAGATATTAGATTTTCTCTTGGGTTTAGAGCATCACTATTAGATGTCTATTTCAGTGGCACAAAAGGCCAAAATACCTATTTCACCTTTTATTTTGACACTTCTCTGTACTAAATCTAAAAAAAAAACATTATTTCATCTGCATTTTATTGTGTGTGTGTGTAGAAAATACAACAAAATTTAGGTGATTTACTCTCTTGAATTAGTTTGTGTTAAGTGAGTTTACTGGGTCTTGTTTCAGTTCATACTCAATACTGTATTACAAATACTGTATTTAAATGTATTTACTATACTTGTCTTAAAATAAATTATTTTGTATTTAAATCTCTTTGTAGATGTGGCGATGGTGTACAACACTTTAAAGTTCTACGGGATGCGCAAGGCAAGTTTTTCCTATGGGTTGTTAAATTCAACTCCTTAAATGAACTGGTAGAATATCACCGATCAGCCTCAGTTTCTCGCTCACATGATATCAAGCTCAAGGACATGACTCCAGAAGAGGTGAGTGTTTTATGAGAAGTCACAGTTATGTTAGTTGTGCAGTTCCATATTTGTAAGTACATCATACAGAGATTTGATGGGATGTAACGAGTGGTAATTGATTATTATATACAGTACTTCACAGTCAAATCTGAATGCGTTTGACATTTAAGGTTTCGCATACTAGAAGGATGGTTTTGTTTACGCTTTGTGTTAAAGCTAGAGTTTTTATCAGCCTATTAGCCTTCTCGTACCCATTGCATTTTATTGTAACTTTACTGATGTTCAAGTTATTTGCTGCATTGGACATTAAAAGTTGTGGATGGAAGGGGCTTTCAGTGCGCACTACATGTGTGTACCACTCTTAACACAGTACGAGTATTTCCTTGTTTCTCGACTTTCTTCAACTCCTTTGTGTTTCCAGTTACCACCTATTTGTTTTATTTTCTCTTAATTTAAATAGGCTGCATTTGTCCATCATATCTATTCCCATGGTTTCTTACATGTAGTAATCATATCGTCTCAGTTCCTTCTATTTCTTTTTTAAGGTTGAGATTAAATTAACATTAGTTGTCCTCGGAGCTTAATCATCATCAGTTCAGACGTGGCTTGTTGAAAACCTTGCCTCTTTTTTGCAAGATAAGATTTGTGCTTCACAAGATGCAGCTTTCATCACAGGTGCTGTATATTCTAGTATTGACCTTGAATGGCCTCTATAAAGTCTTGGAAATAGTCCTTATTTATTTTTGTAAATATAAATATAAATATATATATATATATATATATATATATATATATATATATATATATATATATATATATATATATATATAGCCTTTGTCAATACCAGACTGGTAGCAGTCTGGTTTCAAAGGCTTTAACAAAGCCGTAGACATATTTTTATTAAATATGACCGAAAAAGTATAGATATATATAATATCTATACATATAATTATATATATATATTTCGTATATATATTATATATATAAATATTATATATATATGGAGGTAAATATATAAAATATACTTATATCCAAAATATCATATATTTTATATATATAATATATAGTATGACGCGACATATATATATATATATATATATAAATATATATATATATATATATATTATATATATATATATATATAAACGATAATATATATATATAATATATATAAAATATATATATATATATATATATACGAAATATATATATATATGTAAATATATATCAGACTATAAATAAAATATGAATTTTGGATAATATGATATATTTGATTTATATCCAATATGAATATATAATATATAAAATATAAGATTATAGAAATATATCGTATATATATATATATATATATATATATATATATATATATATATATATATATATTATAATATATATATATAATATATATATTATATATATATATATATATATATATATATATATATATATATATATATATATATATATATATATATATATATATATATATATGTCGTACCTAATAGCCAGAACGCACTTCTCAGCCTACTATGCAAGGCCCGATTTGCCTAATAAGCCAAGTTTTCATGAATTATTTATTTTTCGACTACCTAACCTACCTAACCTCACCTAACCTAATTTTTTCGGCTACCTAACCTAACCTATCCTATAAAGATAGGTTAGGTTAGGTTAGGTAGGGTTGGTTAGGTTCGGTCATATATCTACGTTAATTTTAACTCCAATAAAAAAAAATTGACCTCATACATAATAAAATGTGTAGCTTTATCATATCATAAGAAAAAAATTAGAGAAAATATATTAATTCAGGAAAACTTGGCTTATTAGGCAAATCGGGCCTTGCATAGTAGGCTGAGAAGTGCGTTCTGGCTACTAGGTACGACATATATATATATATATATTTATTTATTTTTTGGAAAAAAAAAAAGGGAAGGGGGTGGTAGGAGAAAAGCACACAGAAACTGTATTGGAGGGGACCTACATTCCCTCCAATGCGTTATGTTATATATATATATGTATGTTGTACCTAGTAGCCAGAATGTCGTACTCAGCCTACTATGCAAGAGCCGATCTACCTAATAAGCAAAGTTTTCCTGATTTTTTATTTTTTTTTTAATTTCTTATGAAATGATAAATCTGTCCATTTCATTAAGTATAAGTTAATATGTTTAAATTTGAGTTAAAACTAACATAGATATATGACCGAACCTAACCAACCCTACCTAACCTAACCTAAACTAAACTAACACAACTAAGTCAATAATCAATGTTCTTAACACTTTGGCGTGCCCCGCGCGCTACCCCTCAACTGTGCGATTTGGGTCCCAGCGTTTCACGGGAGCGCACGTTAATTCTGAAAAGTGTATACTCTCTTCAACTTTGTCACCTTAATTCTCGTCCTACGAGATTAAATTTGGTGTCATTGTGTTCGCAATAGAATTTTCTACAGCACTAAATGCATATAAACTCCAAAAGCCCGGCTAATTACCCGCAGCAAACAGAGAAAGTGCGAATGAGTTACCCAGGAGCACGCAAAAGCGATAAAATGTGTTCACTCTTTTCACTCTGGTCACCTCAGTTGTCGTCCTAGGTCTTTCATTTTGGTATCAATGGGTTTGCAATAGAATTCTCTAGAGGAACATTAGCATATAAAATAAAAAACCTGGTCACGCTCCACCCGCCGACGAGTTGAAGACGGGCCACGTGTTAACCGCGAGTGAGCGCCCAGACGCCTTCCAGCTACACTCCCAATTCCTGCCCACAAATGTTTAGTATTTAGTATTTTAGTATATGTAGTATTATAGTTTAGTATTTTTTGTGGAGTAGTTGTACATCACATAACCATTGTAGATAGCCATTTGCACAAAATAGATGGTCATTTTCTTCATCCATTTGTGAGTTTTCCTTATGAAGTGATAATATTTGATCATTTGGTCAAAGTGATCAACACCTTTCATGTTTGTATTGTAGTCACAGATTGCATTCGGCTTGTTGACAGTTACCAAACAGTCCCCCAAAATCGGAAAAAAACCTGATTTTTGGCAATTATTTTAATGGATGACACAATGCTGCGTCATCCCCGAGATTACCGACAGTAAACGGATGACGCAGTGCTGCGTCATGCCCGGACTAAAGTGTTAAAGTACAGTATTGTATATGAAGAATTACTAAATTTTATTATTTTTAAATAAAAGTAGACAAATATAGAACATTAAATTTCTTAATGTCAAGATAAGACCCTTACCTTTCTTGACCTTGGGCTGTATGATCATGGTACTTAAAGTGGTGATGTGTTGACTATTTAGTTGGGGTTACTGTACCTTGTTTGGAGGGGTGAGTAGATTTCACGTAAAGAATTTTTGTGATTTTTTTTTTTTTATCATTTTATTTATTTTATTTATTTATTTATTTATATATATACAAGAAGGTACATTGGGATTGTGAGGATACATTGTATAGTAATTACAATCTTGTAAAGCCACTAGTATGCGCAGCGTTTCAGGCAGTAAGATGCATACCTAGCTTTGGACTTTATAATTGGGCTGATATGGTGTGATGAGTATTTTTTTGTAGGCACCTCAATTCTGGTCTGACAAGAATTTCTTTGTTTTTACAATGTTTCTGTTGCATATGATCACTTAGTGGATCAGAATCCTTTTGTTACATCATATATTCTGTTGGAATGTCACTTGAGTGGGTTGACAAAATATTTACTGTACACCACAATATATAGTAAATAATAATGGCTATTAGAAAATCAAGTGGAGCAATGCAGTGACTTGAACCAAGCAATCTGGGTGCTCCCAGCTATGTACCTTACTCCTGTACAATGACATGGTAAGGGTTATAACCTTTACCATGTTGTGGTACAGGGGTAAGGTGCGCAGCTTGGAGTACCCAGATTGCTTGGTTCAAGTCGCTGCATTGTTCCAATTGATTTTCTCATTGATATATCACATTAGTGTGAGATTTCTTTGTGTAATGGTTATTAGTGTTGTATTTTTACTGTACAAGATCATAAATACTGAGACAAAAAATGAGAACATTATATCTTTTCAGTTTCTAGTGCAAGCCTTGTATGACTTCACTCCACAAGAACATGGGGAGCTGGAATTTAAGCGAGGCGATGTTATCACCGTAACAGACCGATCAGACCAGCATTGGTGGACTGGTGAAATGGGTAACCGTAGGGGACTCTTCCCTGCTACATATGTTGCGCCGTACCACACCTAGGTGGTTGCTGAAATACCTCCCATCCTTGGTACCCTTTCTTCTCAAAAGGTGTCCACTCTTGTGTATCCCTTATTCTTAAAGGGTGCCCCACCTAGTTTTGGTCAGGTTTTCCCAGACTGTATCTAGACAGAGACTGTGAATGAAACATTGTTCAGAACTATGAAAACCAGCTGGCATGGCTAGGTTGGCCTGGGCGCATATGGCAAAGACTGAGGGAGGTGATGATGGTTGGCCAGCCACTAGTAATACAGTAATTGTACTTATTTCTGTGGCTTGTATCCCAGTCATTAGTTATGCCAATATTATTCTTTGAAGTGATCCTCCCGCTAAAATGAATAGCCAGCCATGTATTATGTTAATTATTGGTGCCATTTCATATCTATCCTCCACAGCAATTTTGTAGAGAATCATTCTTAAGGAAATTGCTTGTCTTATTCTTGCCACAAGCTCATATTTCATTGCTGAGTTTTTTAAACAAATTTTTGTTGCACTAAACAAATATACATGATCCTTTAAGTATTGAAATATGTAGTAGCTTGAGGAGTAAATCAGCCTTGCATGGCATTGAACATTACCGTGGTTATTCTCAACTGTAACAATTCTAGCACAAAAATTTCGGAATTTTTCCATGTGTTTCTGCCCCACCTACACACCTTACCATCGTTACCTGAATCTAAGATTGTATGTAGCAAAGGTCAACGAATTATATACAAAAAAAAAAGTTTCTTCTGTAGTATACAGTAAATTTGTTATCTTTACTAATAGATCATATTGCACCCTGGGGGCCTTAAATTCGGGTAAAGTTGGTCCAAATTGTATCGATACCATACCAGAAAATGAAGCTATAGATTTTGGTTATGATAACTGGTAAGCACAATTTTTATACTGGTAGAATTCTACTAAATATATGGAATGTATGAAGTTATATGTATATGATTAGATAAGCCAGTCGAGTAACAAATTGACTGGATAACATAAGTCAAAGTGGCGTGTGAGAGGTAGCCAGCAGAGTAAGTAGTGGTTGTGAGACATATTAATATACACTTGGATGCTGAGTAACAATGATTTTAAACCAAATGCTTGTTGTTAACACATTCTATAATTCATAGACAAATTACTTTTATTAAAAATTGTAAAAGAGTTCTCTCTCTCTCCTGATCATTTAAATGTGTTTGATTTTTCTTTTTCTTTTCTCATGTTTATTATTTGTCACATGGAGGCTATTTAAGCTTCAGAGGTCTTGGGGCAAGGTTTCTAAGTATGCTCAGTTAGAATATGAAATCTAGATAAATAATTCCTTTCCTATTATATTAGAATATACAGTATGTATTTTATTCAATAATTGTCAAGTTCATAATGAAAAAAGGGAAAGTATGTAAGCCTTTCAAAAATCATGCATGTTTTGTAGTCCCACTGTGCACAGTTTAGAGATGCCCCATAGCTCAAAGCACCTAAGATTAATAGTGTTTGTTCCTAGTTTGTTCCTTCAAAGTGTGGATTGTTTAGCCAGATTAATACTGCAGAGTGATGTGTTGCCAGCTTACATTGTATGATAAGTTAAACAAAACTCATAATTTCTTCCCTGCTTTAAAGACGTAGATGGCTAGAGTCTGTCTCATTGTTGCCTCCATAAACGTGAATGATTTTAATTTATTGAGAAAAAAAATAGGTACTATCATAATTATGCATCAGGCTGAATCAAGGGTAACCCAAGTTGCTACAGTTTAAAAAAATTTAACATTTTATTTGGATGTCATTCAGAAATTGAAAGTTAACACTTTGTAAAGAAAATTCGTGAAAATGAATGACATAATTTTGATATTATATGATGGTGACAATACTTGCAATGATTTTTACCATTGCAATTAAAGCTGATAATTTATGTAGAAGCAGCTTTTGAAAATGGAGAGTTAACTTGAAGTACTCTGAGCTTAAATAAGCATGAATATCAAAATTGTGTGCCTGTAGTCAATCTTGTGTAGGTCTTGCAAATGATAAATTTTGTTCTTGTTCTTGACAAAGAATGTATCTTGACATAGTATTAGTTGATGAGTGCAGGTTAGCAATATGCCAAAATCTTCCTCAGCCACCTGGGTAGCACACTGTACATCTCCACACACACATTCAGGTTAAATATTCTACAGCAACGCTTAGAACTTTTGCCAAAGAATTTAGCATGTTGTCTTAGCTGTCTACTTAGCAGAGCAGTTACCAGCTGCTTTAATGATGAGACGTACGAATATATATTAAAAGTTTGAGATAGCCAGAATACATAATAGTAGTAGATTAAGGAGGAAAGAAAAATTGCTCCGAAGAAAACAGCAATGTTTAGAGAGAGCTGAAAATTGGAAAAAAGGGCACGACTGAAAAATTAAATTTGGTGAATTTTTGCACTGTGAATTGGGACTAACAAAATTATTTGCCAGCAGAGATCAGGAGTTTTTTTATATATCTGATTCTTTTTTTAGTTTTTAAAACTGACATTGGTTTTGGTACATAAAATGAAGAAACTGTTGAATGTGATCTTACTAGTGCAAGCTTCATTCTCAGAAGAGATGGTGAGAGATTATCTATCGTGTTTATTTTGCAGGTGTCTAGAAATTTTAATGAAAATTATATTAATTCACAAATGTTTGATTTTGGTAATAATGGAAATGCCCTCTTACCAGATCTTTAAAACATCCTAATTTATTGAAGATTTTAACTTCCTGCAATACATGAATTTTATTAAATATTCATTTTGCAAATGTTTGTAATGGACTTTGGCATCCACTATTTACATTTTTTAGCCTATTTTATCTATGAGGAGAGTAATTTTGCAAGTGTTTTATTATTATTATTATTATTATTATTATTATTTTGCTAAGTATCTGAAAGTTTTATTATTTAATTTAAATTGTGTATTAGTGCTTATAAAACAATTGTAAGTATAATATAATCAGATAAAATGAAAAAGAATATACTGTACTGCTTTTTTTGTTTATTTATTTTTGTTTAATGATTCATCATGTACAAAAAAAAGTGTGTATATGTTCAAAGTTATTCAAAAGGAATGAGGTTAGACTATGGATGCGGCGTAATTAAGAAGTAAACGCGGGAGATGCAAACTTGCGAACAGTCCATCAGGTTGACCAACTTTTAGGTGAAATGATGCCAATTTTAAAGATGTGTTCAATAATAATATTAAAAACTATTAAGTTTTTTTTGTGTGTAAAGTGAAATTTACACTTTTGATTTGTGGCATATTTTGGAAGGTTAAACTGGGGACATCACATCCTATACAGTATATGTACTGTATATACATAAATAGAATGTATATACAGTACACATATATGCATTGAATGTATATACACATATATGCATTGGATGTATATACACATATATGCATTGGATGTATATACACATATGCATTGGATGTGTATACACACATGCATTGTATGTATATACACATGCATAGGATGTGTGTATACACATATCCATAGGATGTATATACACATGGATGCATAGGATATATATATATATGCATGGATGCATAGGTTGTATATACACATGGATGCATAGGTTGTATATACACATGGATGCATATGTGTATATACACAGGGATGTATAGGATGTATATATGTGTATAATTTGAGAAGCTGCTTTGTAGGTTTACTGTGAAGTAAACCTTTAAATTGTTGCAGTTGATCCATGTTTAAGGAGTGTAGATGTTATTAATTTATTGCTCTTTAAAAGATATTTGAGGAAATTTATTAAAATTAAGATAATTTTCAAACTTGTAATGAAGGTGAAATGTGAAAGGTAGTTGATAGTTGAGTTTGCAGGAGTGAATGTTTACACTTCTCCCCATGAAATAACAGTATTTATCCTGCTAACATTTATGTAATATTGAATGAATTTGGAGATTGTCAGGAATTAAGCAACATGACACTAACTTTGATCCTCATTCCTTCCTTCCTTTGAACCTCTGGATATTTAAAAAAAAATATATATATAATATATACTGTGTATATATATTAATCCAATATATTAAATATATATATATGTATACTGTATATATATAATTTGACCATGTCAAACCATGAAGGAAGGATCAAGACAGGAATTTCCTTAAGTACGTTCATATTTAATAATACATCTTCAGAAGGCTCCTGATCCTTCTGAAGATATATTATTAAATACAAAAGTACTAAGGAAATTCCTGTCTTCATCCTTCCTTTATGGGCTGACACTGTCACATTGTTCATGTAATTATTTACTTTGTACCTAATAGCCAGAACCTCACCTCTAGACCAAGTAACCAGGAACATGTGTGACGGCCAGGGGGATTGTGTATATTTTCAAATATTTCCTTTGAAATCGGGTAACCTTGAATAATATTGACATATTGATTTGTGAGTTAAAAAACCTACATTTTTAGGTTAGGTCAGGTTAAGTTAATTTTGTTTCAAATTGAAAAACTGTCTTGCTCATTTAATAAGACTACATATCTATCAATCCACATGTTAAATTAAAATCTTTGAGAAATAAATTTTGTACAAAAATCAGCTTGAGTAACACTGGCTAGTAGGTATGAAATACATATGTATACCATATATCTCAGCTGTGCAGATTTGAATTATCCATATTTCCAATATTTATCCAAACAAATCCCGATAATCAAGATAAAACCCAGTGGGCACCATTTAAGAATACTGCTAATTCAATGTTGATTCAACACTGAATTAATGTTACTCTTGGATATTGTACCCACTGAGGAGTAACTACTGTATAATTAGATTGTAATTCTGATGTATTTGGACCATTTAAGCTAAGTTTTGTTTGAGTAAGACACTACTGATGACAGTGGATTCTTGCCTGAAGAACACGACTCGTTCCAAATCCTTCCAGTGCATATCATATTCTCTATTTTCACTCAATTTTATAATTATATTTTTAGTAGTAGCAACAATAGAAATGCACCTGTGCACATTTTGATAAAACAAAGCCTATTTGATATAAATGTATTTTGAGGAGGGTATCTTCAGTAGTAACTTCTCGACCTAAGCGTTATTCTAGTTAAACCTTGGAGAGATGCCCCAAGCCTCCAGGGGCCACCCTTTTCTACTGGAACCCAGGACCAGAATCTGGCTCTCATAAAGGTAAGGGTAAAATTGTTTACTAAAGATCAATCCAAAACGAACAATAATAAAGCATAAATGCAAATAAATGAGCAACCCCCATCCATGTTGCGCCTGACCCACACAATGCTGGTGCCCACGTCACCTGGGGTTCCCAACATCTCTTGTTATGTCCCAATTATAGCTGAATGAAGCAGTGCCTCTGACAGGCCCCAGCCTTGTCTCCACGTTTGCTATTCCTGGAATGTTAGTACAACCAGTTGTTTTCAATGACCTCTTTATGAAGTTCTTGTTTTAGTAGTTTTATCACCTACTTTGTGCATGCCCTAGCTTAGCATTTCACTCGCTGTGAGGTAAGGTGGTCTTGGAAGTTGGCTAGTGTTTCTACTCTATAAAGTTGGTTTTGAGAGATTTTCTGCTCTCCAAGCTTGTCATACTTAGAGCATTGGTATATTTCTCAATTAGGGTGTCGCTTTCAACAGCACACACATCCAGAATCCTGCATTTCCAGTAGTTCCTGCAGAAATTTGTCCAGATGCAGCCAGAGATATCAGCTCTGAGGAGCCTAGGTTCTTCCTCTGCTAGCTGAATTATAATGAGTCATCTTGTTTACAGATAGTGCATTGGATTAAAAAGCCTGTTGATGAGTGTAGTACAGTACTCAGCTGTGTTGTCTCGCATGCGCCAACTGATTGTGCCTAAGCCAGTTCCTTATGCATATTGAAACTAATAAGGGTGCACTTGGGTTGCATAAGCAGTTTTCTTGCCTGGGGACTGCCTTCCTCGTGAGGTATTTATGGGTGGGTGTTTGTTCAGCTAAGACATTTTCCTTGAGCCTTGTATGTTGGTCTGGGTAGCTGCTTGGTGGAGGTTGTGTTCTTGCGCAGTGCACACGCTCTTCTCTGAATAAGTACGGGTTGATCTTGGGGCCTTGTCTGCTGATACAGTTCATGCTGCTTCTACAAAACAGTGACAGACTTCTATGCAGCTCACTGTACCTGCTGCCTTACTATGTTGGATTCTTTTCAAGAGTTCACTTGGCCTGTCTCCCTTCTATTTTGTACCCTGTTCTCTTTTTCTCTTTAAAATGGGGAGTTTTAGTAGCAGCAGATGCTTCCTTTCAGCTGCCTAACCAGAAGTTTCAACTGCACTCTGGCTTTTGGCCATTTTGGTGCCCATGTTTCTTGAGACATGGCATAAGGCATCCCAAGAGGTCTGGTAGGAGTTTTGGTGTGCCAGTTTCATGGGTTCCTGTATTCCTAGTACAGTGTGGGCACTCAGGTCTAGCTGTCAGTCAGATTCATCCTACTAGCCTCTTTGTGATACAACCTAGTGTGTCACGAAAAGTGTATCATGCTGTCACGATTCATAAAAGCACGGTAGGGGCTTTCTGATAAATTTGGTACCAGAATTCCTAGTCATGTTGAGTGGTGTGCGTGCCCTGGGGGTCTTTATTTCAGACTTCGGGGCTGGTGAGGAGCCTGAGGTGGGTCACTGGGTGCCCTTTATCCTTTCCTTGTCTCTGTTTCCTACCGAGGGGTTTTTCAGGTTAGGTGGGAGATTGTACTGCCTATCCTCTCAACATTTGAATTTGATTTTTTGGCTGCTGCTCCCAGGGTTTGCTTACATATACCATTAGTGTCCTTGGATGTATCGGGAGGATTCCATCTTTCTGCCTTCCCCCCCCCCCCCCTTTTTTTTTTATCTCCTAGTTTCTTTTGCAGGTACAGTACTGTATTTCACTTCCTTCATAGACCCAGCCTATTTTTAGGTTTGAACTGGATTCAGCCTTGTGGGTTGCATTGCAAGGTTCCTGTTTTTTCCTGGTTTGCAGACAGCCCTCTGTTTTCTTCGGGGGTTTAACGTGGCTTTTGCTATACAAGGGTGCTTGCTGAGCAAGTGGTGGGCTCCATTCCACAGGCAGCTGACTTGGATTTCTGTAACCTAGCCCAAAGAAATTCAAGGGATCTGTGCTAACTTAGTAACCATTTTGCTCTGTGGCCTGGATGTTTTGGCTTCAGTTCTGGGTGTTGCTTCCCTGTTATGAGCTTCTGGCATTCAGCAGCTTTGCCCAGGTTGCTCACTCCACTTCTTCAGAAGGTAGTAGCAGACTCTCCTTTCCTGTCTCACATTTCAGCATGCAGTGCTTGCCCAGGCTATTGATTCAGCTTGGTCTGTACCTTTGTGTCCATCTTCCCCATTTTACCTGTTGAGGCTATGTGTCTAGTGCTTTTGGCAACAGCTGCTACCTTCCTGCCACTTGGTCAGGTTCTGACAGAGGGGTTCGTTGGGATAGGCCTCTAGTGGAACCTGTTTCTCTGGTCCTGGCCTCTTTTTTTAGTTGGCATCATTCATGGATGGGTGCTTTATCTAGGGGGGGGGGGAGCAGAAGGGGTTGCACTACCCCTTTTGCAATTTACCTTATTTTTCCAGTTCCTGGTCCTATGATTTGTGGGCTCTAGGTGGTTTCCTAGGGGGCTTTGTTGGAGTTAGTCCACTCTTTCCCCCTCCCAAGCTTTAGGGGTCTTAGTCAGGAGTCCTCCCCTTAGCTCTATGTGGTCCTTGCATCTTGGTTGGGGCATGGCATGGTAAAGTTCACAAACACTCTTAGGTGGATGTCTATTTGTTCCCTATTTTCAAGTGGAACAGTACATTGTCAAACCACTCGGGGTCTGAACAGCATTTTCTGTCCAACATTTTGCATGACCACATTTGCTTTGGGTTACCTATCAATGACTATGGGGGAGTGAGCTCTTGTTTTCATGACCCCACCTTCTAGCCATTTATATCTAACATGGTAATTACCTCTATTGACATAAACCTTTTCATCACATTGTTTCTTAAAGTTGTGGATGGAGTTAGCATCAACAACCTTTTCCTCCAGTGCATTCCAATTGCTAACCACCAATACAGGGAATAAGAACTTCATTATAGTTCTTTGACTACTGTGTGCCCAGCTTCCACTAGTGTTCTCTTGTCATACCTCTTTTTAATTTGTTTTCATTGTCAACTTTCTCTATTCCCATCAGGATCTTGCATACAGTTATCATATGCCCTATGTTCCTTCTCTCCTCTATGGGTATGAGGGCAACTTCTCTCAACCTGTCATACCTGCAACCTATCCTCGGGCAACGCTTGTTAAGGCGGCAGCCATCCCGCCAGACGCATGAATAAATTTTTATGTATTGTGCATTAAAAATCAGTTTCTCGTATAAATTAATAATAAAATACATTCTATGTACTGTATCATTAGGTTAGATATTGAGGTTCTGTTGGCAATTACTTATATCTATAGTACATGGCTGAAGCATTTATATACAATAGTTACAAGTCAGAGGTCATCAAAGAAGCACTGTCCGAGAAATATTCAAATGTCATCAGTTGAGAGCTGTGTGCAAGTCATTTTTCGTTCTTAAAAAGGGTTTGGCAGCTGGATTAACAAGCATTTGGCCTGTGTTGATGAGAACAGGCTATATAGTCGAGGCATGGCATACATAGTTGATTTTGATACTAACCTAGTTGCAATCCTCTGAATTTTCTCAAGTTTGTTTATACTTCACAGGGTGTGGAGTCGGTGTTGATGTATATGTATATATAATAGTTCATTGTGTTGGGGAACAGGAAGTCAGGATGCAACCTCTCAAGAAGCCGATTTAACTCTTGAGTACCTACTCACTGCTAGGTGAAAGGAAATGTGCCCAACCATTTCTGTCCCAGCCGGAATTCTTGATTGTGCGGCGAGAATGAACCCAAGTGAACTATCGGGATAAATAAATTATATATATATATATAATATATAATGTATAATAATATATATATATATATATATATATATATATATATATATATATATATATATATATATATATATATATATAATAGCCAGAACGCACTTCTCAGCCTATATTCAAGGCCCGATTTGCCTATATATATTATACCTATATATATATATATATATATATATATAGGTTATATATATAACTCCAATATATATATATTCAGGAAAACTTGGCTTATTAGGCAAATGAATATATATAGTTCTGGCTATATATATATATATATATATATATATATATATATATATATATATATATATATATATAATAATATTGTGTGTGTAAATCACGAAAATTAACACATGATAAAAAATGTGACTGTCAGACCAGAAGAAGAATTGAAACAGGAATTTAATTAAGTACTTTCGTATTTAATAATACATCTTCAGAGGATGAATTATATATATAATGTATATATTAGTACCTAGTAGCCAGATTGCACTTCTTGGCCTACTATGCAAGGCCCAATTTGCCTAATAGGCTGAGTGATTTTCTTTATTTTCAATAAATTGTTTCCCATTGATTTATTTTAAATATTATTATTATATTAGGAACATAAATTATTGATTTAGTTATGTTAGTTTAGGTTAGGTTAGGGTTGGTTAGTTTCAGCTATATATCTACATTAGTTTTAACTCAAATTTTAAAAAATTAGCTCATACGTAATGATATGAATAGCTTTATCATTTCATAAAAAAATTGGTAATGAAATTCAGGAAAACTTGGCTTATTAGGCAAATCGGGCCTTGCATAGTAGGCCAAGAACTACGTTCTGGCTATTAGGTACAACATACATATAATAATATATATTTATATATATATATATATATAATATAAATATTTTAATTCTGAATTATATACTTTCAGATTGTGTGAAGCATATCATGGTAATGAAAATTTTTCTTATTTCTATACTGACTTAGGAATTATTATTTTTTCTTTTAAAAAAATACGGTATCCAGATTTCATTTTGCATTCAAGAGTCGGCTGTTTCACTACCTGTACAGTATAAGTATTCACAGTAGTGAGGTAATGATGATATCAAATCTTTGATATATGATTGATATTGGCATGTTCATTTAATGTAGAAGATTTAGAATCATTGTGATTTGTTGGTGCCATTACAGTATGTCATTATACTCCTTCATTTATGTGTTTAATGTGTTTTGTGTGGGTAATAAGTTCCACATGTTAACATCTCTTTTTAAACCTTCAGTGTTTCATGGAAACTTTACGTAGTGATATCAGCCATTTCTGTACTGAATGCTGTTTTCTTCTCCATCATTTAAGTAAGAATTTGTGTGGATACACAAGGTGATCTCATATACTTAATATGTGAGTACTTGTATTTTATATTAGGAAAGCTCTGCTAATTATTATATAATGCAACAGATATTTGCAAATCCAGGATTTACGTACTAGTGTCCCAGGCAGTGATGCACAAATCATGACTTTTGTTGCTTCTACTGCTGTGATTTTTAGCTGAAGAAATTAGCATTATATTAGCTGAAGTATTAGCACAAAGAAATGAACCACACTTTGTTGGAACACTTGGTTTTCTGTTGAGTTTTGGAGGTTCCAAAAACAAATCAAATGTTGCAGTTCAAATGAAGCTAGAGCATTATTGTTTATCATTAAGGAATATTATATCGTAGTGGGGGAAATGTAGGAACAGTGCTACTTGTACTGTAGTATACTGTGATGGGGAAAACAAACATATGGATATACATATACTGTATATATTGTCACCACTTGAAGTCATAATTAATCAGGGAGACGAGATTTTGCCGTGTTTAATCACATTTGTGATGTAGATCAGATAGCAGGAGGAATGTGTATCTGCGGCTTCACAATGCTCAATTCTTTTATTTTTTCAATCTAATTTTCCTTGTTCTTTCACATCTCACAATGTATGCATCACATTAAAAGTTACTTTACTCATTCTCACCTTAGAGAGTAAGGCCATTTTGTTCACATGTGCAGGTGAGAAGATCCTTCCTTAGGCTGAGAAGGTGCTCTTGAGAATAATTTAAATACAATGCTTATGGGTCTTTATCTTCCCTTTTTATCTGCGGGTTGAATTTTAAACCAAAGATTCCTGCCTAAAGTACATGTGCAGTCAACCCAAAATATCAGGAACATTCTATCTGCAATTTGCCTTTATACAGACCACTTTATTAAAAGGTTGAGGTTTGCTAACAGCGTTGGTTACGCCATTATTTTTTCCTGATCAAATTTTTGTGCCTCCCATTCCCCTCTGTCTTTACAGTAGAGCTTAATGTAATTTGATGTTCTCTAATGCTTATTTATCATGCTCACATTTTCTTGTGTTATTGTAGTCAACTCGCACTACTCTCATGGCTCTGGAATCGTATAATGTTTAATATCCTATGGTGATTGAAATTCACAATTGGTTATTCTTAATATTTAATAGATGTGAGATAATAAATATTACTGGATTTCTAAGATATGCCTCGAATGCACATCCACAATGCATCCACAACCTTGTGGATGCCATTGCTAAAGAAACCATTCATACTTGTCCCATTTCCCAGAAAAGGTCTGTGACGTGATAAGGTACTGCAGCCGTATCGGGCTGATGGTATATCTCATGTTCATTAACAACAACAAAAAGTTTATATATGATTGATACTAGCCTTTGGCAGTGTGAAAAGTGTGCAAGCATTAAAATAAATTCAGACAAAAATAACAAATTTACTTTTTTAAATTTTTAAAAAGAAAGAAATAACTGAATTGCAACAACACTTATCTGAAACCTCTTTGCTATTATGTACACAATAGGAAAATACACATGAAAGTTACGTTTATCAATTTATACAATGAGAGCAAATAAAGGCCTTGGGAAATTATGTACACTTGAAACACCACAACCTGGGAAAGCAGGAATTGTGGCGGCTTGTAATGTTGACACTGTGGAGAGCACCAGAAAGAGACTGAATTGTCAGTGTGGGACATCACATCCTTTGTCACTGTCAACTGGAACTAGTCACCGGCAGCATAATGAGTACACCTGCAATGGGCTGACCGTGGTGAGTGTGTTTCCTTGGGGGAGGGGAGGAGGTGTTGTCTAAGACAGGCATCTGGACCTGGCTTGATCTCTAGAACATACTTTTTATGACGATTGTAGTTCGTGTTGATGTGAAGTAGGCTGTCAACGACGGAGTGTGAAGACACAGGAGATTTGTGTGCCAGGTTCTTAACTGAAATTTCTACCCTGTAATTCATAATACCATATAAAGGCATTGCAAAGATAGACGGTTAGCTATAAATAGGAGAATTAATGATATTTTGGTTAATCCTGGACTGTTATCAAGTTGTGTAATAACTTGATAATGGTTCATGGTCCAGGATACGTTATAGAACTAGAGCAGCATGTGTAGTGTCCCTGCATACCCATGATCAAAGTGTTCAGATTATATAGTTAGAGGATGTTCTTTATAAATGGTTTGCACAGCATATATATGACGATCCTTATGGAATGTAATACCTGAATACTGTACAGAGTATATATTGTACAGTATACTGTATAATATTTATTTACATTATACAGTATTTATACCTGTAACACTGTCCAAAGTTGGAGGACATATGCTTGGGTCTAGGTTCACTCAAACTCAGAGATAATGGGGTCCGGGATGAACATAAACTAGTCATGGTTGCCAGAATTCAAAAGGCAACAGCGTGCCAGTCCCATTCAATCCCAAAGATAATTTTTAGAACTGCTTAGCACTATGAAAATATTTTGAAAAATTTAATTTCTTAGAGACATACATAATTATTTTGGTGTGTATTTACAGGGAACTATTATATTCTGTGAATGTCATTTACTTTAATAATATTAAATGAAATAGTGACACTTGCTCTTATTATGCTATTGGTAATACTGTATTGTAGGAAAGAGATGGGAGGAGGATGATGGTGTGTGAACGGAAAAGGGAATGAAGGAGTTGGGGGGACAACCCATACATTATATGAAATGGGAAGAAAGAGAGGACCTGGGGGATTGAGGGGGGAGAAGATGGAAAGATGTATGGATGGATGGATAGATCTGCATATGTTTGCAGTGATATTACCCATGAGCATTACATCTTCATACAGTACCTTATTTTTCCTTTTTCTCTGACACTATTCCTAAAACAACATTCAATCACTGCACAGGCAATTCATGATTTCACATGCCTTCAAAAATGCCATTTATGGTGGACGACAAAGAAGCAAAATGTGTGAGAATTTTGAGTCATTAGAGAAGTGGTAGATTATTTTGATTACTGTACACAAATGTTCAAGTGTGAACATTTAAGTGAAATGACCAGAAGGAATGTGGGGTGGAGTGTGTAACACTGGAGTTAAAAACCAAGAATGGTTGAAGACATAAACAATCTGAGAAGCAGCTGTGGTGTTAGAATAAATTGGTTATGAACAAACAGATAATACTGATAGAATATGTGTTTTTAATAAATTTGAGAAGCTAAGAAAATAGGCAGACATAGTGAGGGTGTGAGCAGAAGCAGGGACTGACTGTAAACACCATACGAGAAGTGGGAACAAGGTTAGGTGGCAGCCATTCACAAGTGTGAACGGATGCAACAACTTGTAGAAACACTACACGCCTAGTCTTGGTCATCTGTAGTGGGACCCCCCACTGCTTCATGTCTGAAGTACAGTGTAGAGGTGTAGGATGTTTGTGAGGTTTAATGCAAGCTATGATAAATTGATAGGTGTAATTGGTTTTCTTCTCCACTTATACTGCTCACCTGTTTACTGTATCCTGGCTGATGCTTTCACACCTCACAACAATAAGAAACGGGATACAACAATGATATAAATTCTAAATATAAAAATATATATATATTTTTGTTGACAATTTATGATCATTACATAATAAAAGATTTGATAATTATGATATAAATATGACTACACTTTACATTTTAAGATTTACTCCCATCTAGATTTTTTGTGGAAAACATGTTTTGTACCATCCTCTGCTACTGCAATGTATGTCTTGGACTCGTGTTGTTGAGACTTCATATATGCTAAATATGCAGTGCTGCATAGAATTGCTACCACACCAAAGGTCATTACTGCCAAGTTCTGAAACATTAATTTAAATTTAGTTTGCAAGTTTCCTCCCAACAGAGATTAAATAAAAGATATAAATATTTCTGTCCAATAGAACATAAGGCAAGAAATTGGTGGATTATGCTATTCTGCATTGGTCATCTCCATATTCTTTATTAATTCACATCACACTTTTGTCTGCTGCATAACTTCTGATGATAAATTTAATTAACTTATTTTGTTTGTATATTGTCACTAAATGATGCAGCACAAAAATTATGTATTAAGTACTTAAATGAGAGCTTTGAAACTGACGTTTTTGCTATACACTACCACTTTGTCTGCATAAGAGAACTTTCTAATATTTTCTAGGCATCTTTTGTTCCTTAGCTTGAATCTATGACCTCTTCTTTAAGTTGCTGGTTTCAAAAAGTCCATTTTGTTGATTCCTGCTACTATTTTTTTTTTTTACAGTATTCATATCGCCTCTTAAAACTAGAAATCTTTTGATCATAGCTGATCAAAGGGAGGTATCTCACAATCTGTCAAGCATATCCTAAAAGAGGAAAACTGATCCCAAACCCCAGAAAGGATACAGGGAACCAAAGACCAAAACAAGTACCAATGTCCAACAGCCAGAAAGACGCTCATCAAAGGCAGACACTTTTGTGTCTGCCTTCGACTAGCAGTGCTGTGAACCAGGGAAGTGAAGGAAGAGCACTCCCTGGCCAGTATGACAGCTCTGGCAAATTCTAGAAGAAAAAGACAGAAAACTACTGGAAACCACAGGTACAAAAGGGTTAACACAACAAGGAATAACAAAGGACAAGGCTAAAAAAAATACTTATATGTACTGTACTTGCTTGAACAATATGCAGAAAAAAAATGTTTAAGATACGTGCCAGGTTAAATACAGTACTGTTCACTATATATTATAAAATTTCACGTCAAAGTGATGACATTCTCAAAACAATGTATTGAACTGAAACCTAATGTAGGCTGAAAAATAAAGGAAAAAAAAATATACATACAGTATGTGAGTAAACTATAAGATATTACTGCCAGGGAGTACCTGATTATTTCAATACATGTACCTCCTTTTCCCTTGGCACAATAATGTAATGGTGATGAAATAAAGGTTCTTCTTATTTCATTCAGAGGATTCATAACTTAGACGGTGGAAGTTTAAAAATTGCGCTTCTAAGATTATTTATAACATTTCACTGTATAAGTGATTATCCAATTAATTACTTCATTTTTTTGCAAAATACTTACACTTTATATTACAGTACCCACAAACATTTTCCTGGCAATATCTTCTGTAATATCCTTTTAAAGTTTTACCAACATTGGCATGGTCACATACTTCATACTGCACCTTCATCTATGATACTGTCTTAAAACATCTTTCACTGTCTTTCCTTTAATTTTCCTTAAACTGCATTTCTTTGCACATCGCTAAGACTTAAAACAGCCATACATATGAAGGGGGGGGGGTCTTCAGGTAACCTCTGTAATTAACCATGGATTTCTTGAAGTCATATCGAGGTCCAAATGTACTTTCTTAAAAGTATTGCATTCTATATGTAGTAACACAAAACTTTTAACATGCTAAGACTTGGTTCACACCTAATAAGTATTGGTACACAAGAGATATTGTATGAGAAGCTGTAAATGATTATAAAAAAAATACATGTCTTTCATATAGTACAAATCAGATACAGTGGCACCTCAACATACGATTGCCCCTACTTACGATAATTTCGAGTTACGATGTAAATTTCACAGAAAAATGCGACTCGACATCCGATGGTGTCGTCGACTTCCGATATTTGTTGGTACACGTTCGGGTCGACCGAGCGCATGGTTCCCGGTCACGCGGCCGACCTGCCTCAGTTTACTACAGCTGCCCGCTTAGTGACGATCGCGCCTATAAGAAATTCCGCTTTTGTGGTGATTTTTTGCATTTTGAACATTAAAGTAATTATTATATATCACGCCATGAGTCCCAGGAAAGTCCGTGGTAAGGCTCAACATATGAAAACCCATGTAAGGATGACCATAGAGCAGAAACAAGAGTACAGAATGTCTCTTCCTCAACAATTAAGAAAATGTGTCCAGCATGGGAAGAATTGTAAATCTTTGCTGAAACGACTCGCCCAAATCAAGCTGCAGTAGGTCGTTGCCTTAACCTATTCAATGACACTGTGATGCATCATTACAGACAAATGTTAAAACGAAGGGAAAAATAAATGTCTCTTGACAAATTTGTAGTGAGACAAACAAGCACTGAACCACAACCAGGTCCTAGTGGTATTCAGGCAAAATGTAGGAGAGAGAGTACCCTAGAGATAACATCACTGCCTGATGTGATAATGGAAGGGGACTCCCCTTCCAAACAGGAACAACTCTCCTCCCCCCCCCCCCCTCATCACCATCTTCCATACGCCATCAAGAGCCCTCCATAAAGGTAAGAGAAACTTTGGTACTGTATTGTAGCTAGAAAAAAAAATTGTATTCAGTATAAAATGTATCTATGTTATTATTTTGGAGGCTGGGAAACAGATTAATTCAAATCCCTTTATTTCTTATGGGAAAAATCGCTTCGACTTACGATATTTCGACTTACTCTCCGGGAATGGATTAGCATCGTAAGTCGAGGCCCCATTGTACTTGATTTTGCCAAATATTAGTAAAACAAACTGTAAATGCTGAATAACATGCATGTAATTAAGAAAAGAATATTAAATCTTTATGTGAAAAAGTAAACTCCACTTTAAAATTTAAAAAACAATTGATAAAACTCACAAGAGGTAAAACACATTCAAGAAACTTGAATTCTGGCATCTATAGTGAACTAAAATACAGCTTTTGTGGAAGTCTCACAAAATACAGACTTTCTCACAAAATAAAACTTACAGGTTTAACATACAGCTCAAAGTTAACAGCTTTGAAAACACCTGTTGTAGGAATAGACTTGATGCCATCTCCACTTGCAGGGCTAGATGAACTTGTTGGTGTCGAGTTTAAACCCTTCTGCATACTAGTGGTGTTCCCCATTTCTTATATCTGGGGGAGATGGATATATAGGAACTGTACTGCACTGATTATACATATTTTAAACGAATATGAAAAATATATGGAAATAAGTATGGTATATTAAAAAAAACAAAAGATTGCAAGAGTTTATGGTTCATTTTTTGGCCTGCCAGAGTTGAGGACAGGACCTGTTAGGTTTATCAAGGTCCCCCTGGGGCCAACTACTGATGACCTTCCCCAGCTGCCTAAGTCCCAGGTACCAATTTACTGCTAGGAGAAAGGAAACATTGCCCAAATGCTTCTATCCTTCCACGAGTGCTGAACCCAGGACCCTTTCACCTGTGAACCGAATGCACAGATCACTGCATTACTGAGCCCCATCAGAAGGATGCCTAGCTACTTTAACAAATTAATCTGTGGCTGCATTCCTTGCATGCCAAATACTATCACTTGCATTCCATTAGCAATGGAATATAGCTTTAAATGCCTATCATCTTAAGTCAAATAACATTTTTCTTGTAGCTACAGTACTGTATTAACTTTAAATTTCAGAATAATCTATTGAACAGTTTTATGATTACCTCATCTCTGTACAAATTGTGACTGATCAATTAGGCTGTTGGTGCCCATATGAGACAAAGATGAGAAAGCAATAACGTAGTGGGAACCAGGTTATTGGGGGTGGCAATCCACAGGCCTATTGCAAGGTGCAGTACATAGGTTAAGACTAATGAGAAATACAGTACAGTATTGACAAAGACTTTTGTCCCTGTATCACTTCTGTGATTTAATTTCAAGAGGGTAAATACGTCAATAAATAAAAAAAATTGTGCCAATAAAGTGGTATCCCAATTATCAAGATTAATTTATTCTGGATCCTTATGGTGAAATTGGGCTTCATTTTTATATGGATATTTTTAACTACAGTATTTACTATTTTGGTGCCAAATTTTCTTTTTTTTATTATTGCATATAACAAACACATTCACACCAACATGTGGAGTGAATATTTTAAGAATCTAATGGTTGCAAACTGAAGAAAAGAACAAGTTTTGTGATGAGCATAGGGCATGAAAAAAAACCAGTGGAGCAGAGGAGGAAATTAGAGAAGCAGTGAATAGATTAATGAAGCAAATGGCTCCTAGTATAGATGGATTAACTATGGTTATGCTGAAGTACAGGAGCGAAACATATTACTGGCACCCAGTCAATCTTCCCCAGCCAGGATACGAACCCAGGCCAAAGCGCTCACGAAGCGCCGAGCGAGTGTCGTACCACTGTGCCACGGGGACTGCATTATTATTACAATACTGTATTACTACAAGGAGATTTCTTTCCTAATTATCACAGGATAATTAGGAAAGGAAGAGGAATAGGTTGAGGTTATCAAGGAGTTGGGCTGTTCAGATCAGATTTTTTGTGTGAGAGATTAAGAAAGAATTGATCAAAAGGACACTTAACAAAATTTTGTGGGAGAATGAATGATGAAAAATGTTTAGCAGAGGTAAGAAACTCATATGCAGCTTTTGTGAATTTAGAAAAAGCACACAAGTGTCACACCCTGTGGCAAGTTTGAAAGGTACTGTATATGGGAAGGTAGAAGGCTTATCAGCACCAGTAAAAATCCTTTTATATGAAAAGCAAAACATGAGTTCGGTAAATAGGAGTTTATTATTATGGATGGTATAAGACAGGGATGTGTAATGTGTGTGGACAGTTTTCTGAAAGAAGCGCCGAACCAAGAGGGCTGTAGTTGATATGTAGGCCTGCGGCCTGCTCCAAGCAACAGCCTGTTGGTCCACCTGTCACAGGGCATGTGTGGCCACGTCTGTGGTAGAAAATAATAATAAAAAAAAACAAGTCAAGCCTGGCTTAGGGAGTAGAGCAAAATTACCAGATCAGTTAGCAAAATCACCAGATCAATGGGTGATAAGGATAAATTCTTCATATTGACATGTTTGTAAGCAGAGGATGCAGTGCTCTCTGCAGATGTATTTGGCCGCAGAGGGCGAGTTTATTTGGCAGTCAATCATCCTGTGATTGAACATACCGCCAGAGCAGCATGTGCAACACACAACTCAAGTAGGAAGAAAACCTGGTGGGTTATACCCGGGACCAAAGACATCCCAGTGAAAAGAAAAACCTGATAACCCACTACTGTAGCTGATCCACTACCAAATTCACTTGCGACTGTCCTTTCACATTCACTCCAACCATCTACCACCACCGGGCTACTCATGCCCGTAGCCACCTATTGTGGGGTTTAATCTTTAGTAATCAATCACATGGTGTCACTTGTATCCTGACGCAGCTACGACTTATGTCAGCCTAGAATTGTTAACGTGGATAAGTTAGAAGAAACCTAAGGTTCAAGTTGCAATTTTAACTGTAGACTATAATGGATGAAAACATAGAGGAAGAGAACAGTTGGCCATGGCAGTCCGCGTGGCGCAGTGGTAAAGCGCTCGCCCGGGTTCGTATCCTGGCTGGGGAGGATTGACTGGGCGCCAATCCTTAACTATAGCCTCTGTTCACCCAGCACTGAATGGGTACCTGGTTGTTAAACGATTTGGCGGGTTGTATTCCAGGGAATATTAGGATTAAGGACCTGCCCGAAACGCTATGCGTGCTAGGGGCTTTACAAGACTGTAAGAACTCTTGTATATATATAAATAAGTAAAAAAATACAAAATAAGTAGCCAAGAGACTGACCAACCTGTATGTTACTGTTGTTGTTTTAGTGTCTGTATCCCTCTGTTGCCAAATATTGGTTAATAAGGACCATCGGAATATTAGTTTCTGGGGTGTAAATATATTTAAATATTGTATATTCATAACAAAATATTTAATTAATAAGTGCAGGACTATCCAATAATGGTAGTCCTACACTTATTCATTTTCTCGTGTATTTCTGCAATAAATACCGATTGTACACACTTGCGTTGTTTGCCTGAAACAAACTTAATTACATTATATCAAGAGGGGTTTTAGTGTATATAATAAAAAGCTTTATGGACTGTAAGTTTCCCATAAAAAAATATATTATAGGCTTGTATATCACCTGTAATCCTTTTATACAGGAAAATAAAATCTGGATTTTTTTTAATACGGGAAAATAAAAGTAAATATTGCTAAATTTAATCTCTATAGAATTCTTGTGTAGAGGAGTTTTAATATAAATGATGTATTTGGTAAGGCTATAAAGTGTGAGGAATACCTCAGTCTCAAGACGGAGTGTTGACAGTTGCTGGCAACTCTGACCATCAGCTGGTCCTGGGAGCTTAACTTAGAAGTAAACACAAAGTTAATGTAATACTCTGATATTACCGTCTCAGGATGAAGCTGGCACCGAGGGCCGCCCTCAGGTATGTGGGCGGCACCACCAGCAACCTTGTAAGGTAAATAATAGACGTTTATTATGGTAAACAGGTGTTTGGGGAGGGGCCAGAGGGAGATAGTGCACCCTTGGTCAACGGTACCTGAATTTACCTGAGGGCCACTAACACTAGTGGCCTCGATGAGAATAGGAAGCCGGCGGCTTGTCAAAGGTTCCTCACTTGCCCTGATGATCTTTTCCAGTTGAATTTTACAAATTAACGGTTTTGGCATTTATGGCTCAGACGAGTAGGCGGTTCCATTGGTCTATAACCCTATGGGTAAAAAAATTGTTGTAATATATATATATATATATATATATATATATATATATATATATATATATATATATATATATATATATATATATATATATATATATATATATATATATTATATAATACACATACAGTACAAGAGTTGTTACATTGTTGTAAAACCACTAGCACACAGCATTTCGGGCAGGTCCTTAATCTTAATTTTCCCCGGAATACGACCTGCCAAATCATTTAACAACCAGATACCCATTCACTGCTGAGTGAACAGAGGCCCGTGCAGGAATATCCCTGCAAAAAAAAAAAAAAAAAAAGAGGCGTACAGTTAACGATTGGCACCCAGTCAATCCTCCTCGGCCAGGATACGAACCCAGGCCCAATTGCTTGCGAGGCACTAGGCGAGTGTTTTACCACTGTGCCACAGGGCCTGCATCTCCTGTTGTCTCAGTATAGACTTCATGGCTTCTGGAGGTTATCTTGAGATGATTTCGGGGCTTACCGTCCCAGCGGCCTGGTCCTCGAACCAGGCCTCCTTATTTTTTACACACTCCCCAGGAAGCAGCCCGTAGCAGCTGTCTAACTCCCAGGTACCTATTTACTGCTAGGTAACAGGGGCATCAGGGTGAAAGAAACTGCCCATTTGTCTCCGCCTCCACCGGGGATCAAACTCAGAACCTCGGGACTACAAATGCGAAGCGCTGTCCACTCAGCTATCAGGCGCCCTGCTAGGGCGCCTGACAGCTTGGTGGCTTGGTGACAGATTCATTGTGAATGATTATCAGCACAGTCAAAGGTAATGTTATCAAAATATTGCTAAAGCATATATCACGAGGAAGATAAATCAAGATACTGTATATGCAAATAATGAATCGGTTATTCAAGGCTGAGCCTAAGGTTCTGGTTTAACTATGCCTCTTATATCCCCCATGTTTCTAAATAAACATAATCTAAACTTCATAGAGGTTCAGTTAAATTGCATTTCGAGAGCTCAACTTGCATGAAAATTGTCAACAGTATTGTTCTATTCATTGTAGGAGACTGATATCAGAACCTATCTCTGGAAAGCGGTATCAGGGCTTATCATCCCATTTTCTAGACATCTTCCAGATTTGCCTGCAAAGCTAATATGTCTCATTGGAGGCAATACAGCAGTTTTATTTTTTCTGAAAATGGTTGACAGATAGGCATAGAAATGGCTGGCAACTTTACCCTGGCAGTTAAAATCCAATACCATGACTACTGTACTGTATTACAGTCCTTAAGATTTCTACATCCTTTACTGCAACATATTCCATGACATAATTTATCAATATGTTTTTGTTTATGCTGCTGTATTATATGTTGTCATGTATACAGTACTTATAACTTAATTTTAATTTGTTGGAAGGTATTTAATAAATAAATGTTTATTCAGGTATGGTACATACATACAAGAGATTTTTACAAAAATTGCTAGGTTTATAGATAGAGCTGGTACATACAATGCCTAAAGCCACTATTACGCAAAGCGTTTCGGGCAGGAAAAACATTAAAGACTAAAACTTAATACTAATTGAGTTTAAAGTATAAAATGTGTTGAGAACAAATAAAAATAAAAATAAGAAAGGGGGGAACATGGCTGAAAAAGCAGCACAAATATAATTAGGTTGACAAACAGCGGTGTTTAAAAAAAAAAAAAACGGGTTGACAATACAGGGGTAAGGTAGGTTACAGGGAATTTATTAGGTAGTGCTTCATTTTTATCTTAAATTGGTTGAGAGAGGTACAGTCTTTAACATGATTGGGAAGGTCATTCCACATTCTGTGTCCCTTGATTTGTAGAGCATTTCTAGTTTGATTAAGTCGTACTCTTGGAATATCAAAACTGTATTTGTTTCTAGTGTGGCGCTCATGGGTTCTGTTACAACCTTCAATGAAGCTTTTGAGGTCAGGATTGGCATTACAGTTCAGCGTTTTATATATGTATAATACACATGAGAGAATGTGCAGTGACTTGATGTCTAACATATTCAGAGATTTGAGTAGGGGTACCAAGTGATGTCTGGGGCTAGAGTTGGATATTGTCCTAATAGCAGCTTTGTGTTGAGTAATTAGAGGACGTAAATGATTTTGGGTAGTAGAACCCCAAGCACAAATACCATAGTTGAGATACGGATAGATGAGGGAGTAATAGAGCGTCACCAGGGCAGGGCGGGGTACATAATATCTGATCTTAGAAAGAATGCCAACAGTTTTTTAAACTTTTTTTTGTATATATTTAGAATGTGTCCCTGGAAATTCAGCTTGTGGTCAATGAGAACGCCAAGGAATTTGCCATCTATTTTGTTACAAATTTGGGTATTGTTTATTTTGAGATTTATTTGATTAGAGGATTTATTGCCAAACAGAATATAGAAAGTTTTGTCAATGTTAAGGGGAAGTTTGATGGCAGTTAGCCAAAGATGGACTTTATTTAGCTCAGTATTTACTGTGGCATTTAGAGCAAGGGGGTCAGGACTGGAGTAAATGAAGGTTGTGTCGTCAGCAAATAGAATTGGTTTGAGGTGTTGGGAGGCATTTGGAAGGTCATTAATGTAGATGAGAAAGAGGAGAGGGCCAAGTATGCTGCCCTGAGGAACACCAGTGTTGATGGGTAGGGTGGGAGAAATTGAATTATTCACAGAAACATACTGGAGCCTGTCAGTAAGGTAAGACTTGAGGTATTGTAGGGAGTGTCCTCTGACTCCATAATGTAATTTAAGAAGGTTTTGGTGGTTGACAGTGTCAAAAGCCTTACGCAGGTCCACAAATAATCCAACAGGAAACTCATTTTTATCAAGAGCTGCATGAATCAAGTTAATCATACTAATAAGTGCATCGTTAGTGCTTTTTTTGGGTCTGAAGCCATATTGACAAGAGCTAAGTATATTGTGTTTGGCTAGATAAGAGTAAAGCTGCTTGTAAATTAGTTTTTCAAATATTTTTGACAAGTTAGGCAGGATATCGGTATCTCCTCAAGGGCACTAGACTTGGTTTTAAGGGAAAGGATTATCTCATTAACGTCAGTGGAATTTGTAGGCTTTAGGTACAGAGATTGTGGATAGTTACCTGTAAGATAGTCCTTAACATCAGTACTGGAAGATGGAATGTCATTTGCAAGGGATGACTCAATGGAAGAGAAGAACCTATTGAACTCAGTAGCAGAATCAGAGGCTGAAAGCTGACCATCGTTATTGGACAGGAGTGTTGGTTTCTTATTTAAAATCTTCTTTGATCCCAATATTTGTGAAATTGTGCTCCAAGTTTTTTTAATGTTGCTCTTTATTTGGGTAAATTTATCTTCATAGTATTTAGTTTTGGCTTGTCTAATTATTTTAGATAGCACTAACAAGTAATTCTTTGAGAATTCTTTGGAGACTGTTCCTAACCTATACTTCTTCTCAAGGTCATATTTTTTATTAAGACTTTCGCCCGGGCATGACGCAGCATTGCGTCATCCGTTTACTGGCGGTAATTCCGGGGATGATGCAGCATTGCGTCATCCACTTTAAATAATCGCCAAAAATCAGGTTTTTATCCGATTTTTGGGGGACTGGTTTTAAAATGCGCGCCGATGTCTTCCCATTTTCTTTGTTGAGCCTCGTGGCCCTCAGGCAGCTTGGCACATGCCGTGGGCCCATTGTTTTCGCTCCACTGTTGTGACCAATGTCGCCTCCCCTCGCATCTCAAATGTGTGAACATTTCAGCTATTTTCCGTGGCTATATTTCTTACTGCGGCTTTAGAAACTATCTACGCTTACTCCACGATGGATAGTGATCATGAACAAGGCCCTTCCAGGAAGAAAATTGCGAAAGAAAGGCTTGAAAAGGGCGGGAATTGGGAGTGTAGCTGGAAGGCGGCTGAGCACTCACTCGCGGCTAACGCGTGGCCCGTCTTCAACTCGTCGGCGGTTGGAGCGTGACCAGGTTTTTTATTTTATATGCTAATGTTCCTCTAGAGAATTCTATTGCGAACCCATTGAGACCAAAATGAAAGACTTAGGATAAAAATTGAGGTGACCAGAGTGAAAATAGTGAAAACATTTTATCGCGTTTGCGCGCTCCTGGGTAACTCGTTCGCACTTTCTCTGTTTGCTGCGGGTAATTAGCCGGGCTTTTGGAGTTTATATGCATTTAGTGCTGTAGAGAATTCTATTGTGAACACAATGATACCAAATTTAATCTCGTAGGACGAGAATTAAGGTGACAAAGTTGAAGAGAGTATACACTTTTCAGAATTTACGCGCACTCCCGTTACACCCTGGGTCCCATGTCGCACAGTTGAGGGGTGGCGAGCGGGGTGCACCAAAGTGTTAATGGATTTAAGTATTCCCTTTGTAAGCCAAGGATTGTTAAGCCTTTTGGTTGTGACTTGTTTCGTAAGCATAGGACAGTGGGTGTTATAAAGACTGAGAGTTTTTTGAAGAAAAGTTTGCACTGCTAGGTTGATGTCCCCTATGTTACCTAACTCGGACTCCCAGTTGACATTAGCAGCAGCAGTTATAAAATTGTCTATAGCAGTTTCATTGTGCAGCCTAAAGCTCAACTCCCTTGTCTCTATAGGTGGTTTGTTAATGTTAGTTAAGAGAAATGTGGGGTAATGGTCTGTAGTGCTATCGGTGATTATACCTGAAGTAAGCAGAGAGGTTATGTTGGTCCAGTTGTGATCTAGAGTCGTGGCAGTACTATCAGTGATTCTAGTAGGTCTAGTGATTAACGGTATGAGGAAGCAGGAATTCATACAGTTGAGGAAGCTAACAGCAGTAGGGTGTTCAGGCTCGCCGAGGTCAATATTAAAGTCCCCTGCGATAATTAGATGGCTTTTGTTCAGTCTGTTATCTAGTATTAGATTTCTAAGGTTTGAGTTGAATTCGGACACATCTGTGTTGGGAATTCTATAGACTGCACCCACAGACAGGACAGACTCAGCACCCTTGACTCTGAAACTGGCGAAGATATACTCCCCACAGCAGTCTCTACTTCTAATTACTTTTAAGGGGGCATATCGGTGTAAAATTAAAAGTGGTTCAATTTGCTTATAAATTTCTTTATGAAATGGTTATAGAAAGGGCTGCAGCTGGTCCAAGTTTCATCATCACACCCTAAACAGAAAAGGAGAAAAAAAATAAACAACGAATTATGCAACGAATTTTCAAATAGTTTCAGGGAACACATGTGTCAACTAAAATCATTTCTATAACACTCAGATATTAAATTAAGCACATAATAAAGGATTTTAGTGATCAGTTTTATCAAAAAAGTGTTTAGTGCAATAATATAATTTTTCAAAGTTACCCTACTAAAAAAATATGCAATATATGATATTTATAAATTTTTATAAAATCAACAAATAGAGTTTGGACTAAAATGTCTACTAGAGTCTGTAGAAGCACAAACGCTACATATAAGGTGTAATTTGCATGTAAATTGATTAATAAATGAAAGCTCTGAAGTAATTTGAAGGTGTAAATTACTTTCCAGAGTAAAATAAAGATCCAAGTTCGGCCACCTGTAGCTGAGCTTGACTTCGACAGATTTCGTTCATAATTGGCACCCTTGCAGATAGGCATCCATTGAGCAAGGTGTGTAAGTTTCATGCAAATCCCTTGATAACAAACGAGAAAAAAAAATTGGCCCAAAAAAAAAAAAAAAAAAAAAAAATTTAAATATAAATATATTGAACATACATATTACAATTATTACAAGAGTTTGTGCTTCTACAGCACACAGTAGACATTTTAGTTGACACATGTGTTCCCTGAGATTATTTGAGAATGTTGAACATTCGTTGCATAATACGTTGTGTATTTTTTTTTCTCCTTTTCTGTTTAGGGTGTGATGGTGAAACTTGGACCAGTTGCAGCCCTTTCTATAACCATTTCATAAAAAAAATTATAAGCAAATTGAACAATTTTAATTTATAACGATATTTTTCTATATGCCCCCTTAAGCATGTTAGTTCTTGGTGGTAGTAAAGAGCAGTACCACCACCTCTCTGAATTTGACAACAGTTGTGAATTGCCGAGTAGTTAGGCACATTAAAGAGTTGAGTAGTATTCTCTTTTAACCACGTTTCAGTAAGTATAATAAAAGAGAATTTGTTGTCAATAGTTTCAATCAAGGCACTAACATCATCGAAGTGTTTACCTAGAGATCTAACGTTCAAGTTGATTACAGAGATAGTGATTGTGTTAAAACATTGTTTACATCATGTGCAGTATAATATCTGCAATTTTGATCATTAAAGTGATGATTGTCATAGATAGTGGATAAGAGGTTTAGTTCTGGGTCTATACTTGTCTGCATAAAAAGGCTGGTTGTTGGAAAACAAGGCAAGAATGGCAATTATAAAATAGAAATTTGAAATAAAAGGGGGAAAGAGAAAAAAATATATAAACAAGACTATACAAAGCAAACAGACAATGAACAAAAAAAAAAAAGAAAAATGAGGTAGCTTACAAGGGGCTTACAAGTACTCTCAGGTACACTAAGTAATAATTTGCATTTTGAGACACAGGCAAAGCCAGGGGTACAATGGAGTAAGGGAGTATGGCGAGGCTAAGCAACCTAGGTAATAAGTGAAATCAAAGAAAAAAGTTGATTAATATACATAGGCAAATTTAAGCTAAAGATTATTACCTATAAATAGTTTAGTTATGAACGTATAATTAATAAGACCTAAAGAAATATTAAAGCACTCAGTTAATTAAGCCCAATAAATGACTAGTAAAAAGTAAATTAAAAATTAATTTAAAAAGTGAAACAAAGAGACTTGGGATACCTAGCCCGCACTAGGTGACAGGGGGGTTAATTATGTTGACTCATTGAGTGTGATAATAAGGTGAGACAAACCACATTGGGTGAGGAAAGTGTTGAGGTTATCCTTATTAGCAATTATAAACATTTTACCTACTGAAGTCTTTCTCACTTTAATCAAGCCATCTCTGACGAAGCACTGATGAATTGCATCTGGGTTTTGACGACGGATTTGACGCAGGCGGTAGAGGAGTTGCTGTCTTTTTCTACTCAAGCACTCCTTGATGCAGATTCCCTGTCATTTTGTCAAAACAAACACAAAGTAAAATTAAATTAGAACAACTACATTTGCACTTTGCTGAACTTTCAACATTCAATTATATCTGCTACATTTGTATTTCCAACTCTTCAGTTAATTGCCAGTTCCCAAGGACATTGATCTATCTTGCTTTTATCAAAACCTTTTTCTACCAGGAGTTGAATCTTTAATTCAATCAATACAATTCTCTAACCTGCACATCAGTATCCTTTTGCACTACTACTGATCTGATTTTCTAAACTAATTGGAGTAAACCAACATTGGTTAATCTTCAAACAAAAAATTTGATATGAAGATCTTGTGATCAACGATTGGATGATCTGGAGACAGGTTGTATAATTTGGAGACATTCAGATCAGATCCCACTTTCACTATAATCTCCTGTTAGTACTTACAGCAACTATTGGTCGAACATACAAAAATGGACTGTAGCATTCACAAAGTTCATGTTTTGTATTATCAATTTTTAGAGTGGCACAAGAAAGATGGCAACAACCACACCTAAACTATCCTAGATCAACTGTAACACATACTTATATAAATTTGGCCTCAGGATTATTTATGTAGGCCTAGCACATGTTAGGTTGTATGTAGTTGCTATTCCACTTTTTAGCATGTCATTTTGAAGTATTCGAAAAGTACAAAACACAAACACATGGATACAACAGTGCGTATTTGCACATTTGGCCAACGATTGCCGTAAACAGCGTACCATAATTTTGGGAGGATGGGTTGACATATGTTATGATAATGCAATAGAATTTGACTCAAAAATCAGGCTTCAGGTGAATATGAAAAGCTAGTTGCTGAGCAAGACACAATACTCTCTAAAGCAAAATCATTAAATGTTCAAGGATCATAATAGTGAGGGCAAACTGACATTCTGCACAATTACAGCAGAAATAGTTTTTAATGTCCTTGTAGGGTCATAATAATGGTAGGAGAAAAACTTGGTTCAGCCAAGAGTGACATGAACTGTAGTGTGTTGTACATTATTTAAGAATAACTGCAGGCCACTCCTTTGTGTCCAAAATTGACAATTCTCAGATTTTCCCAGTTCTCTGTACAGTATTATTCATATATAAAATGAAGGGACATATTCCAACTATTTATTAATTATCCTTATCAAGATCAAGTACAGTATTGCTGTAAGTTGTATTTATAACTTTTTTTTTATATGTACAGCAAACGTCAAATAAGAGCATGGCATTTGATGAGTTCAAGATTAGAGGAAGGGAGAGCAAGTATTTTAGAAAATCGTCCACTGCTTCTGCCCTACTCTTCTTTGCCATGCCTTCTACCAGACCGCAGCATTATGGGAGGGGTCCTTGGTGGAAAGAAGAAGGAATATTCAGAGAGACGTGTTCTTGGGTAACTTATTTATTGAAGCTTTTTATTCTTGTAAGCATGTTAAACTTCTTGTCTTTTACAGTATAGCTATGCTGTACATTGCAAAATATTAATTGCAATACACAAGATCTAATATACTAAGAGGTAATTCTATAAATTAATTCTTTAGTAGTCAAATTAATGTTGGAATGTTATTTTCTTGTTCAATCTACAATTGAACATTAAAATGTTTGTTTTGTGTAATTAGTTTTTTGTAGCTAAAGGAAATTAGTACATGTTGTGTCCCATCTTTATAAATTATTAAAAATCACAGAGATTTCAAGTGATTTTTACAAAACACCCTCCTCCCTGTTCCTAGAGTTAATTGCACTCATCTACTATTGTTTCATATGAATACGTCTCGTTATACATGCTCTTAGGTGGGTATTTTTGGGGGGTCACAACAATATATTTTGTTCATACCATCCATGGTAGCTATAGGCACAATAATTTGTGGAGCATGGATATAGTATTCTCAGATAAGTGATTATAGTTTTCTTGCACACTTGTGTATATGTTAACTAGGCCCTAGTTCAAGGATAGAAAACCAACTTAACATTAATGGAGTGAAGTCATAGTGGAAGAATGTCACTAGTAGTTTGCCCCCCGTGAATTTTTTGGTGTGGAGCCTTTGTTGTTCATATTATGTCAGTTACCTACATATTGGGATGAACAATAATATGGGCAACTTTGGAGATAACATGAATGTAGGACACATAATAAACTCGAATAAGGATGATGCTACAGAACTAAAAATAGAATAAGGATGATGCTACAGAACTAAAAATAGAATAAGGATGATGCTACAGAACTAAAAATAGAATAAGGATGATGCTACAGAACTAAAAATAGAATAAGGATGATGCTACAGAACTAAAAAAAAACCTTCATCACATTGCAGATGATGAGGAGGGCAAGAAGGTGGCAGATACAATTAAACATTAATGGATGCAATACCCTAAACTTGGAAAATGACAGTGGTAGTGTCTATTATAATACGTAATAACAATAATAATAATAAAAATAATTTTACAGTATTTACAAAAGGGTACAATGGGTTTGTGAGATTACATAATATTGATATTTTTACATTCTTGCAAAGCTACAAACACAGTGCTTCGAACAGAATGAATGATACAAATTTGGGCAAATCGAGTAGTGAAAGAGACTTGGTCATTCTTGACAGTGACCCGAGACCTAAGCAACAGAGTATCAACATGCTCTACAAAGGAAATAGATACTTAGGTTTATAACCTGTAGCATTAGCAATGCTACAGTACATAAATAGTGTCCTCCAATTATTTTTGACAATGCCACCCAATTTGGTCACTATATAACGGAGGGGACATTGATTCCCTGCAGAAAATCCAACATCGGATAACCAGACTGATCCCTGATGTTCTAGACCTCACAATAAGAAGGATGCAGGGCACAAGCAGACGTCATCAAGGTCATGTGGATGAGTGGCATCAACAGGGATGAATGAGCAAGGTCTTTAAACAATCGAACCAAGAAGGACCCTTTATCAGTGACTATAAGCTGGAGAAGTGTATAATTGGGAAGGATATTAGGAAGGACTGGTTTGGCAATACTGTATGGTGACAGGCATACCACCAATAAATTTGGTTGCCAGCCAACATTATTAAGTCAACTGATACAGCTAGCTTTAGAAATATGCTTGATAGATACATGGGGGAGAGAAGTTTGATCTAGATGGGGCACCACCCAGAATGGGTCAACAGGGCCCCATGACTGACTCCTCCTAATGTTCTTACCCACTTGAACTAAGGTCTATTGTGCAGAAGTTTTTTTTTCTGGAACTTTGTCTTTTTAGTAGTTTATTTTTAGTTGTAATCATTTGCCAAGAAAATTCTTTTGAGTTTGAAATTTATTTTTAACATTGTTCTTATGAGATTAGAGTGAAGATATATTTAGGGAGACTTAAGATAACAGTATGTTACTTTGTTATAGATACTCCATGAACCAGATGTTTGATGTGGTGTCTGAAGTGGAAAGTTATTATAAATTTGTTCCTTATTGCAAGAAATCTGAGGTGACATTAAGAAGACCAGGATTCCTTAAGGTAGGTCAAATAATCACTGCTGCAAAGAAATTACAAATGTTGATTGATATGGAATAACATGTGCACTTACGTAATATAAGAATGCAGTAGACAATGCCTTTGTGTAGATATTATATTTGCAATTCAGTTAACAAGTGAGACAAGGCTGGTAGGGTGATATTTCTGTATTGGAAAACAAGCTATCCAACCTTGGCCATTCTTGGGAGGTTTCCTTTTTATACTGTGTATGGGTCTTGTAGTGCAGTGGTCTATGTCCTTGGCTCACAACTAAGAATGCCAGGTTCAGTTCACAGGTGGGACATTGATGGTTGGGCAGATTTCTTTTCACCTGATAACTGTTCACCAAGCAGTAAATAGGTACCAGGAGTTAGACAACTGTTGGGAGTTGCATCCTAGGAAAGGTTAATATAGCTGACCTAGGGGGGGGGGGCTTCAGTAAGCCTAACAGGCCTTCTGACAATGAGAAACATTAACATGTGTGATAAACATCTTGGAATTGATGCTGTATTGTGTTAGGATAATTTAAAAATATAATAAAATACAGTAAAATGCTAGAATGCATGATGATTCCTACTATTTCTATTTTAATATAAATAGCTCATTGCATAATTTTTTAATTTTTAGGCTGACCTTGTGGTTGGGTTTTCTCCTATGATTGAATCGTACACTTCAAGTGTCACGCTGGCACGACCACATCTGGTGAGGGCTGTGTGCACTGAAGGCAAATTATTTAATCACCTCCTAACAATTTGGAAATTTACACCTGGAATTCATGGTCAGGTGAGTCAATGAATATTTACCATTATAGTACAACTTGTCACACACAAGGTTTGTGACAAGGATAGGAAACAAGGTTTCATATCCAGATTACTCTAATATGGGAGTGGGGAAATTTAATTTGGATCATCATTTAATATATTAATTAATCTGGACCAGATATACATTTGTTTTGGTCTCCCATAATGGATGTGTATAGGTATAACTTTTTTAATTGATAATGACATTGAAACTCATTGTTTTTAACTTCATTGAAGATATCCACTTAAAAATTGTCAACCACACTACCATGGATAACAACATTTCTTTCACCCGAGCACTAGGAGCCTTGAACACCTGACCCCCAGTTGAAAGTTGATAGAGAGCGATTGTCTTCCATGCTGGGGGCTTGGTGTTCACGGCTCCTAGTGCCCGGGTGAATGAAATACCCACTAATATTAGTAATAATAGTGGTTGGTCAATTTAAATAGTTTTGGTTTAAAAAAGTTGAGAATGATTAAGTTAGGGGAAAGGACGTTCCTAGTGTAATGACAGTTCTGATTAGATAAAAGGGAACTGATAGACATGTGGCTTGAGGTCTGCATACAGGAGTGGTAGTGCCTCTTCCACTCCTGTATGCCACAGTAGCTGCAAGATGCTGCTGTGACATGCTTATGAAAAATCAAGAAGTAAAGCAGTAGACTCTTTAAGAATCTGAGATACATTTGTGATAATTGAGGATACAATAAAGAATAAAATGGTCGTAGAAAAATTTGGAGAGCAATTTGTCGGTAAATCACATGACTGAAGGTTTACTAAGATGAATTAGTTACTGTGTACTGAATGAGTTGATAGGCGTGGAAGAGAGTATATTCAACTGAATTTTATAAAGAGAGGCTAATAAGATTGGTAGTTTTTTTTTTTTTTATTATTATTATTTTCTACCACAGATGTGGCCACACATTTACAATGCTAACCAGCGTATATACTTTTCTTCTGTCCTCCATGTACAGGGTGAGAGATTTGTCAAACATACAGTTCAGGGATTTATTGAACAATCAACCACAGAAGGTGATTGTAGTGCTTTTAAAATGCTAGGCTAAGCTACATACGTAAATACATAGATACACAGATTTGTGTATGCTACATAAAGTGTTCGATGCGTCTTTTACATAGTGTCATTAATAGATGGGTAGTCAATGTGGGTGTGTGAGTCAGTGGGGTTCAAGTGTGATAAGAATTGAGGATAAGATTTGGTGAAATCTGTGGAGAAGGAAATTAATATTTGACTTAAATAACAACTTTTTGGGGGGAAGGGCTATACAGTTACCCATAGGATATACTGGAGCACTGCTGTGGATGATTTACTAGAGTATTACAGTGCTAAAGCTACATGTTGATTTTGGGTAGTGTCGAATATTGGATAAATTAGTGGGGGTAGTTATGATTACAGGTAATTTGTATTTTTTTTCTCTCTCTTGGGTGATACTTCCCCACAACATGAAAGTGGGGAAAAGAGTTAGTGGTGATGTTTCTTTTACAGTATGTACAGTATCCATTAAATTTAATGACCTATGTGGGGCTATACCTAACTCCCTAAATTAGTATGTTTACTAAATCTGAAGCTGTTAAATGTCGGTAATATTTTAAGTAATTATCGAGCCCGCAAAACACTTTCTAAATGAAAATGATATAACTCTTTTCCTTCCCCTCCTCCCATACTATTAAAAGCAAGTGCCATGTAAAGCATAAAATCCAGAGATTGAAAATGTGAAACAGATTTATAAAGAATGAAAAAATGAGTGAAACACTAAATAAGCCATTCTTAAATGTGTTCGTGCAAAAATGAAGTTTTCAGAGAACCAGACACAATGCCAATTTCAAAGTATACTGTACCATAAAGTACATAGAAATATCTTGTGATGAAGTATAAAAATTACTTGGAGCTAGGAAAAAACAGAGCAGTTGGCCCAGATAATTTCACCTTGGGTTCTGAGAGAATGTGCACTTGAGCTGAGCACCCCCTCCCCATCCGGCCTGTTGGCGTCGTGAGGGGGCTTGGTGGACGGCTGCCGGAGTGTGATGCTCCGTTGGGCAGTCCTATGTCCTTTTCTGGCCTTGCACTCCTGCTGCTGTCTTCTCCAATTGTGTCGGATCGCTTTTCCTTTTCCTTATGTTTCGTTTTTCTCCCCCCTCTTCTCCTATCTGCTTGTCGTTTCCTGCCGACCTTTTGCTTGTTTTGGATTATTTCTTTGGACTTCTTCTGTTTTGACGCCCGGGTGCTTGAGGAGGCATACTCTTGCACCCGTAGAACTGTAGTACCCAACGTCTCGAGCGAGGGGAACCTTTTATTGTCAATCCCCCTTTCGTCGCTGAACCCGATCTCGACGGACTGACGGTTCTTAAGGTGGCGTTTGTGGGGCGTATACTCACGATGCACCCCTAGGGGGCCCCGGCATGATCGGCGATAGCTTCCTGTTGGGTGTCCTGCCTCTAATTGTGGCTCCATGGTGGGTATGGGGGCACATTCGTGGATGAATTTGTCACTTTTCGTCTCTATGTCGTTGAATGTTTCCGTTGTACCCTCTCAGGCTTGTGGGGTGGGCGACCAAGCCCCCGAGTCGGCCTGTATTGGAAGACCAGGCTCTGTAGCTCCCGCTGCATTGGGCCCCGACCTTGCTCCTCCTTTGACCGTCCTGACTTCTTCCCCCAGCTCCCCTCCCTCCTCTGTGGTTGGGTCGAGCCTCCAGCCCCCGGTGGTGACCACTTCGTCCCCTGGTGTGGCTAAGTCTTTCGTTGTGACTACTGCGCCTTTTGACCCCTCTCTCTCTAGGGGTTCTCAACGCCGTTCGAGCCCCAACCGCACTCGCTCGATTCCTTCCCGTGCTGATGCGTATCAGGCCTTGTTTGGTCCTGCTTCATGGGCCAAATACTTTGATCTCCTCCCTCTTGATTCTGCGCCTCCTGACGATTTCTCCCTCCATCGGCATCTTGTAGATTCCGTGGATGCGTCTGTTACTTTCAACCCCACTCGTCTCGGTACACGTGTCGTTGCTGCTCCTTCTCAGGATGCGGCTTCCCGCTTGGCTGCCTTATCTTGCCTTGGTGAGATCCCTGTTCGGGTCTCCAAGAACGTTCAGATGAATGCCAGTGTTGGCACTATTCTCCTCCCACCCCATGTTGCAACCGGTGTTCGGAATCTGCAGGATTGCCACGATGATATTCGGCATATCCTTGATGCCCAAGGCCATTCTGTCCTCCAGGTTGACTCGTTTACTCGTCCCCCTCGTGGTCGTCGCCATCAACCCCTTCGCGTTGTGAAGATCACCTTTGATGGTAGGACCCTTCCATCCTCTGTCATTCTTGCTGGTGCTAGGTGCTCTGTCCAGGAGTATATTCCTTCTCCTCGACTTTGTAACAAGTGCTGGAGGTTTGGGCATGGTGCCCTCCGCTGCTCTAGGACTCTCTCTCTCTGTCCTTTGTGTGGGAGTGAAGGTCACTCTAAGTCGGAGTGCACTTCTTCCCAGGCTCGCTGCCTCAACTGCGGTGAGGCCCATCCTACCTTCTCCCGTGCCTGTGTCCATTACAAGCTTGAGGCGGCCGTCCTTAACCTGAAGCACCGGGAGCGTTTATCTTTTCCTGAGGCGAGGCGCCAGGTTCGCCGGCTCCCGCCTTATACTAATTAACATCTCTTATGCTCGCGTGTTGCGCTCTTCCTCTCCTCGTCCTTCCCCCCTTCCTCAGACTCTCAACCGTTTCCGGGCCTTGGACCCTGATACGCCCACTGCCCCCTCCTCTGTTCCTTTGAGTTCTCTCCCGAGGGGTCCCCCTCCTGGTCCTCTGTCTGGGGTTCCCCTTCTTTCAACCCGGTCTGTCATGTCTCCTGTGTCTTCTTCCTCGTCCCCCTCCGATCCTCCTTCCCATCCTCTTCCTCCATCTATCGGCTCTCCCCACCGCCTGTCGGTGTTGGCGGATGTTCATCGCTCTCCTAACGGCTGTCGTGTGTGCTCTCGTTCGGCTTCTCCTGTTGAAACACTGGAATCCGTTGCCCGGTACGTAGTTGCTGGGACACCGGTCTCTTTAAGTCAGAAGCGTAAGCCTGGCTCCTCTCCTTCCTCTTCGCCGGCAGGTAAGAAGGCTTCGCTTTCTTCCTCAGCTCCTACTTCTGGCTCTGTTGCTCCTTCCCCTCCCGTTTCAGTGATTGCGCCCCCTGTTCCTGCTATGGAGGTTTCTTTGGCCCCTGCTTCCCTTTCGGTTGCTGCTCTTGCTGGGGTGCGCTCCCCTCTTTCTACTCCCCCTCTTCCTGCTGCTGTCCTTGACTGCTCCTCTCCGTTGTCTCCTCCTCCTCCTCCTCCTCCGGACCCCGCCCGCCCACCTCTGATCTGTTCTCCCGTTTCCTTCCCTCCGTCTTTGCTCAGTTTACCCATGCCCCCTAACCCTGACTTTGCTGACCCTGATCCCGACCCTGATATTCTTTAATGTGCTCTGTTGCTCTTTCGCCTTTGTTTCTTCCTTGTTCTCTGTTTTTGTCCTTTCTCTTCTCGTCGTTGTCCATTCTTCAATGGAACGTTCGAGGTTATTACGCCAATTTCCTCGAACTCCAACTTCTGATTTCGCGGTTTTCGCCCCTTTGTGTCTGTCTCCAGGAGCCAATGCTTGGTGCTCGTCCTGGTCGTTTTCGTGGCTATTCCTTTCTCTTTCGTGGCTATTCCTTTCTCCCCTCCCCCCCCCCCCCCCCCCCCCCCAGCCATTGCTGGGGCTTCTAATTCTTCTGCTCTCTTGATTCGTGCTGATGTTCCCTTTGTTCCTTTACTTTTTTTCTTCGCCTCTCCATTGTTCTGCTGCTCGTATCTTTGTGGGGTAATGGTACACAGTTTGTTCCATTTATCTCCCCCCAAGTGTCCCGCTCTCTCTTCCTGATTTGAAACACCTCCTAGACTCCTTGCCGGAGCCTGTGCTCCTGCTGGGTGACTTCAATTGTCGTCATTCTCTTTGGGGTGACGTTCTGACGAATACCCGGGGTC